ACCTTCCAACGACCCGACTCAGGTTGGGAGGTTTGCGCTGCACGGATCTTTACCAGCCAAGCCGTCTCACTGGCCCCTGACGAGAACAAACAAACACACAAACACACCCACTAAAAACCAGCCTCGCTGGGGAAGACCCTCCTCCTGCTCAGGCGATGGGTGGCATCTGGAACAGGTAGAAGGTAGAAGCTGGAGTGCCCCTGGGGTCTTGGGCCCTGAGAGGCCAGGCTGGGAGGGAGGAGAATGGGTCTGACTGAGAATCCTTCTGACCTAACAAAGGCCCGTTAAAGCGGCCCATGGGTCCCTTCTTTGTTTATGGCGCCTCCAAATAAACACACTTGAGAATTTCCTATGAAGACATCACGGAGAAAGCCAAAAGCAGCCTTTGGCCTACGTGTAGATGGTGATGTCCTCTGTCTCTGTGTTCTTCATAGTCTCTTTCCACATCACTCTTCTCATGGAATGAAAAGGGAAACCTCTGGGTTCTTTTCTTGCCTTGGAAGAAAAATACTAAAACTCACTTCCTGCCAGGCATGATGGCGCATGCCTTTAATCTCAGCACTTGGGAGGCAGGCAGATCTCTGTGATTTCAAGCCAACCTGGTCTACATAGCAAGCTCCAGGCCAGCCAAGGCTACACAGTGAGACCCTGCCTAAATAAAACAAAACGGAAAAACAACAAATAAAAAAACGCCCCAATAAACACTTCCTTTGTGTTCAGAAAATGTACCAAGATTTTGAGATATGTGCTCACATTTATCTGAAAACCAGATAGGAAATGGTGGGTCTATGTTGGTCGCTCCTCCTGACCAACCCAGAGGCAGAGCCTGTTGTCACCCAACTTTTTATTTGAGAAAACTGAGGCACAGGAAGTCTAAGCGGCCTGTGAAAATGAAAGAAGCTAAAACTTATCTCATAGCCTCTTAGAGCCAAGACTGCAGGATGAGGCCATTGGAAGATGCCAAGCTCCAGCCAGGGAACTCAGGACCTGGGTTCAGGTCCCAGCATCCATATGGCGGCTTGCAGCTAGCTGCTCGAACTCCAGTTCCAGAGAATCTGATGCCCTCTCCTGACCTCCCTGGGGACTTCACACACGTCGTACACACACGCAGGCAAAGCACCCATACATATGAGAAAAAAATAAGCTGTGGTGGTGGACACCGGTCATCCCCGCACTATGAGGCTTAGGCAGGAGGACCAGGTGTTCAAGGTCAGCCTGGATCATATAGCAAGTCCCTGCTTAAAAGAAATTAGTGAATGTTCCTAAGAAAATTTACCTCCTACCTCAGCTCCGTGGAAAGGTTCTGAGTGGGTCTGGCTTGTCCCCACACAGGAGCTGCCTCTGAGCCAAGCAAGAAAGCACCAGGCTAGCCCATGGAAGAGGAGCTAGAAACAGCATTCAGACAGGGCAGTTCTAGGGAAAGGGGGGCAAAGATGCACACAGAATTCTCCTCTCCTCTTTTCTCACCCCCCATCTGTCTCTCCCTCCACACTTCTCCCTTCCTTCATTCTGTCCATGATGCCGCCATTGTAGCTATCTACCACTCTCCGACTTCCGGTCTTTGATGACACCTTGGGTCCCCAGGCAGCAAGGACGGCTGTAGTTTTTCTTGACTGTCTGGCCCTGGGCTGTCTGATGTCTGGAGGTAGGATCCCATCAGGTAGGAAGGACAACTGCTTTCCTGCACTCCAGAAGGCCAGGGGCCCCACACCGTGTACCACACCTGACGAGTACAGAGGCAGGATGTGATTTTTATCTTGGTGTAACATAAAAAGTTAAAAGAGAAAATAAAACCCTAAGCCAGACACAGCAAATCCCCCGTGGACAAACAAGATACTGAAGCCTGGTCAGGGGGTGGGAGTGGGATTTTGTCCCAAAATCTCACCTGGATTGTAACTTTGAGAACTCATGCATGTGAAGATCCCAAAAGGGGCTTCCAGGATGCGCATGCATGAGGTCTGCTGCCTGGAAAGTCTCGGTGGACTTGAGGGTGGCCCATACTGCCCTGGATGGTGCCAGGAGAGCCTTGTGGGGACCCAGTCAGAGCTGACCCTATACCCATACAGTCCCAGGACTACAGAAATCCTTCTGCTTGCTCCAGTGTGAGATCTCAAATATCCTCCCACTGCAATGGGGTTGGGCCTGGTGTACATACTGAGCCTCAAGAGAGGAAAGGGGCTTATTCCCTATCCCTCCAGCTCTGGAGGGGTACAGTGTTTGTTTTTGTGGCAGTTTTATTTATTCATTGAGTTTTTCTGAGATAGGGTTTCTCTATGTAACCATGGCTGTTCTGGAACTCTGTTTTGTAGACCATGATGGCCTGGAACTTAGAGACCTACCTGCCTCTGCCTCCTGAGTGCTGGGATTAAAGGGGTGGTGGGGGGCACAGGTACAGTTTAGATATAAACTTCAAGGTCCTCGTGTGGCCAAGTAGTCCCAGTGTCTCCATTCCCAGGACAGGCAGAGGTCTCCCAGAGGTGTCCCCAGCTGGAGGGGCCTACCATGCAGCTACAGAGTCTTCACTTTGGGGTTTTCCTTTCTGCCCCCATCTGGAGACTTTGCCCTTCTAGATCCTACTCCATGCAGCTCCCAAAAAGCCATGAATCCCTGAAGCCTTCTAGAACCTTCTGGGAATTCTGTGCAGTTCACTGTTTCTCAAGTATTCAACCTTAAAAGTGATTCTAAAAAACTTTAAGATTTAGGGGCTGGAGAGATGGCTCAGCAGTTAAGAGGACCCGGGTTCAATTCCCAGCACCCATGGCTCACAGCTGTCTATAACTCCTGTTCCAGGGGACCCAACACCCTCACCCAGACATATGTTCAGGCAAAACACCAATATAAATAAAAAATACTTGGATTTATTTATTTTATGTCTATGAGTGTTTTGCCTTCGTGTGTGTGTGTGTGTGTGTGTGTGTGTGTGTGCACCACGTGTGTGCCTGGTGCTTGAGGAGGACAGAAGAGGGCATCTGATACCTTAGAACTGGAATTACAGGTGGTTGTAAGCCACCACGTGGGTGATGGGAACTGAACCTGGGTCCTTTGCAAGACCAACAAGTGCTCTAACCACTGAGCCATCTCTCCAGCGTCCCCTGCAAGTGCTCTAACCCGTGGTCCTGCTCAGGTCTCACCGTGTGCCTAAGAGACATTCCGGTTTTGCTGTTTTATCAACTGGAAAGTTGGGCCTGGAGTGGGAAGGGATTTAACTGAGACCGCACAGCCAGGGTGGTGTGGGAACGAGGACTCCCTCCGGGTCCCCTGGACTTCAAAGTCTGCATCACCGTGTGCAACCTTCCTTCGCCCTCTTCCGGGGAGGGGGTGGGCTTCTGTGAGTGCAGCCAGACCTGGGGCTCCAGAACTATGGCTGTCTCTGCGCTAGGCATGCATCTCCCTGGGGGGGTCCCCAGTCCTGACTTGGCTCAGCACCCCCTGTTCTCTCTCGGCTCTGGACTGGTGCAGGCCTAGCTGGGTGGAGCCAGACCGAGAGAGACGACTAGGGAGGTGTCATGGCTGCGTCCTGTCCCTGCAGCCTCCAGTCCTGCGTTTGCTCCCCGACACCAGACAGTTGAAGCTTCTGAGCAGAGCAGATATTCCCTCCCGTTCTGTTCCTCAGTTTCCCCAAGCTCACTTTCCTTCCTTTAGTGGCAGGGCAGGAGTATCAGCTCGCTGGTCAGCCTGAAGCTGAGGAGGCAGGTTCTACTTGGACCTGAGCTGAGGAAGCCGGCCCTGTGGGTCTCAGGGGGAAGCGGAAGGGTATGACCTATGCACTCACTTTAGCTCCAGGAGCCCGCCCATGCATCAGGACTTGGTATGAGTGCTCTCCTGTAGATCTGGGCCTGGTCTAGCCGGCTGCCAATCAACCACCAAGCCCAGGAAATGGATATACACAGCCACACAATCCAGGGAGGCTGTCTGCAGAGAGCAGGAGGAGCAGGTGCCACTGGTTCTGATGGGTATATATTCTCAAGTTCAGACCCAGACCAAGGCTCTCTGGACAGCGCATGAGTGGGGCTCCAATCACGCTAACGGGGAAACTGAGGGCCCTCCTTTCCAGGGCTGCCCTGGAGCAGGATGGCTGTGGATGTGAGTACATGAGACAGCCAGGAGTTGATTGGCAGGAGCCATCTGTCTTCTGCCAGGCCGGGACCATGACATTCCCCATCCTTCCTGGGTTCTGAACATTTTCAAAAGGTCTACAGGGGGCTAATGTGTGTGCAATGTGTTGTGTGTGGGGTGTGTGTGCTCTATGTGTGTTTGTGTCCTAGAGATGGGAGCAGAGTCAGAAGTGTCCCCACACCCTGTGGGGCCAGGGTGACCTGCTTCTGAGCAGTGCTGAGCCTTGTCGCTCATCTGTCACCGTTACAGCCTTTCTCTGAAGTCCTTAGTCCTGATTGGTCCGTCTGCAGCTGAGTAGAAAGCTTTCAAAATTCTTCCTCCTAGGACTCCGAGGAACAAGTGCCCCAGAGTTTCCCACAATCTCTCTATGCCAGGACTGTTTACAAATGGAGTTCTCAAGAAGCCAGGCCTTGAGGGGCGGGGTAAGGGGAGCGTTGGAGACAGAAATGCAGATGGGGGCTGAGGGTCTGACCAGACTGTGTTCTTTTGGGTGAAGAAGTGGGTTCCGGCGAGGCTTAGGAAAAGGACTGGTGTAGGAGGAGGTGCTGGGAGAAGAGAGGGAGATTTCCTTGGAGGAGACCAGTGCCTGGGCACCGGGACTGGAGGCCCCTAATGAGACTGTGGATTTCGGAGATTGATATCCACTGAGTGTAAGAGTGTCACAGGGACGAGATTATCTGGATTACTGACTTTCAGGAGCTGAAGAAGTGTGTATGGAGGTGTGTCTGAAAGTGGGAGGGGGAATTAAGGGGTCACTAAACAAATGTTAAAGCTAGCACACTGCAAGTTGGAGGGGACAGCATGTCAGACCCAGGTCCCAAGGGCTTCCTTTCTCAGGCTCATTTTTCTCACCTGTGAAATGGGATTGTTGTGAAGGCTCCGGGAAAGGAAGACGTTCTTGGCTTCGGGTTGAGAGGAAGCGCTGTTATAGTTTGGATGCAGGTAGAGTCCGTGGTGAGTGGGTCTAAGTACACGGAGCTGCGGGGTCAGCATTGCCCCCTAGTGGCGATCTTGCAAACAACAGGCAGAGCCACCGGGTCGGCGAGGAGGGCGGCCGCTGTCAAGTCGCCTGCAGCTCAGCATCTGTCTGTCTGTCTGTCCGTGGGAGCCAGGGCGCAGCAGGACCTCTGGGGCAGAAGGCATGGTAGGTGAGGGGGTGCGGGCCCCGTTCCGGGTGCTGTGGTCCGACAGGCGCGGCTCCCAGGGTGGGAACACTCCGTGGGGCACTTGGGAGTTGTGGGGGAGACCACTCAGCCGACCGGGTTAGTGCTGTCGTTTTTCTGATTACTGTCAGCGCTGTTGGCTGCCGCCGGTGACCCTTCCTCTAGTCACGAGGCACCTTTCTTGAACCTGGGCTGTCACCTGCCCCATTCCCAGATCCTCTCTCGGCGAGAGTCCCAAGCATTGAGAACCCCAGGTAGAGTAGGTGCCAAGATGTCAGGTGTTCGCACTGACGACAGAAGACAGAGCCGACGTTGGGTCGAAGTTCAGTTTTAGTCTTTTTATTCCTTCACTTGACCCCTACGGTACCTTTCTCTGCACACCAAGGTCACCACAGCTTTCTGTGTGTCTGATCTGCCCTTGGTCAAAGCGTCTTGTGGATTAAACGCCTGGACCTTCCGCCTGGAGCTGGGGAGGTCAGGTCTGCCCTGGCAGTGGCTTCAGAGCCCTGGCTCTTCAAGCAATATTGCAGTTGTGCCCATTCTTCTGATGTCCACCTTGAGTGGCTCTCCTGAAGTCCTTCTTGAAAGGGAGCCACCCAAAGGGATGGCCAAGCCTGTTCTTGGAAGAACCTGTCATTTATTCAAAGGTTTCAGAAGATCATGGCTTTCCAAGTAAAGGGCCAATCATCATTTAAAAATTATTACATTTGTGTGTGTGTGTGTGTGTGTGTGTGTGTGTGTGTGTGTGTGTAGAGTTAGTGGATAACTTGGAGTTGGTCTTTCTACCATGTAGTTCCCAGGGATGGACACAGCTCATCAGGCTTGGTGGCAAGCTGGTTTATCTGCTAAGCCATCTCACTGGCCCCAATTTTATTAATTTATTTAATTATTTTTTTTGTTTTGGTTTCCAAGACAGGGTTTCTCTGTGTAGTTTTGGTGTCTGTCCTGGATCTCGCTCTGTAGACCAGGCTGGCCTCAAACTCACAGAGATCCACCTGGCTCTGCCTCCCGAGTGCTGGAACTAAAGGCGTGCGCCACCACTGCCCAGCCCTGTTTTATGATTTTTAAGGTTCTCACTTTTAGTACTCTGTGGTTGTAATGCACTTTACAGCAGGTGACAGGTGTTTTTCTCTCTCAGAGTCACGTGACTCTCAGCCTGTCCTCTTCAGGTGGCACCTTCAGGGTGATGATTTAGGACAGAGCTGGGATTACTTAAATGGGCATCTTTCCGCTCTGTTCCACAGACTCCTCCCTGCCCCAATTGTTCCGTCTTTCCTGGAGAGCTGTCCTCAGGTGGTTCAGGGAGCCCCATGGTCTGCAATGGCAGCGTGGTCAATGGAAGCTTTGACCCCGAGGACCTGAACCTGACTGACGAAGCCCTGAGGTTGAAGTACCTGGGCCCACAGCAGTTAGAGCTGTTTGTGCCCGTCTGTGCCATGTACCTGCTGATCTTTGTGGTGGGCACTGTGGGCAACGGGCTGACCTGCACCGTCATCCTGCACCACAAGGCCATGAAAACGCCCACCAACTTCTACCTCCTCAGCCTTGCTGTGTCTGATTTGCTGGTGCTCCTGGTGGGCCTGCCCCTGGAGCTGTACGAGATGCGGCACAATTACCCGTTCCAGCTGGGGGCCAGTGGCTGCTACTTCCGGATACTGCTCTTCGAGACCGTCTGTCTAGCTTCCGTGCTCAATGTCACAGCCCTGAGTGTGGAGCGCTACGTGGCCGTGGTGCATCCACTCCAAGCCAAGTCTGTGATGACGCGGGCCCACGTGCGCCGCATGCTGGGGGCCATCTGGGTCCTCGCAGTGCTTTTCTCTCTGCCGAACACCAGCCTGCACGGCCTCAAGCAGCTGTACGTGCCCTGTCGGGGGCTGGTGCCCGACTCAGCTGTGTGCACTTTGGTGCGTCCCCGAGTCTTCTACAACTTGGTGATACAGACCACCACACTGCTCTTCTTCTGCCTGCCCATGGTTGTCATCAGTGTGCTGTACCTGCTCATTGGGCTGCGCCTGCACCGGGAAAGGATGCTGCTCCAAGCCGAGGTCAAAGGCAGGAAAAGCGCAACGGCCCGGAAGACCTGCAGCAGAAAGCCTCAACTTCGAGATAGGGGACGGAGACAGGTGACCAAGATGCTATGTAAGTGTCATTGTTAAGGAAGGAGCTGAGCCTCCGTGGGTCTGGGGAAGGTGTGGAGCTTCCGGCTTTTTGGAAGCCGGTCTTGGGTCCTCTGCGCTTCTTCCCAGACCTCTTTTTTTTTTTTTTTTTTTTTGTGATATATATTTTTTATTTTACAATACCATTCAGTTCTACATATCAGCCATGGGTTCCCCTATTCTCCCCCCTCCCACGCCCTCCCCTTACCCCCAGCCCACCCTCCATTCCCATCTCCTCCAGGACAAGTCCTCCCCCGAGGACTGTGATCGACTTGGTAGACTCAGTCCAGGGAGGTCCAGTCCCTTCCTCCCAGACTGAGCCAAGTGTCTCTGCATAAGTTCCTGGTTTCAAACAGCCAACTCATGGAATGAGCACAGGACTTGGTCCCACTGCCTAAATGCCTCCCAAACTGATCAAGCCAATCAACTGTCTCACCTATTCAGAGGGCCTGATCCAGCTGGGAGCCCCTCAGTCTTTGGTTCATAGTTCATGTGTTTCCATTCATTTGGCTATTTTTTTTTTCAATAATTGAGTAAAACTGAAATTTATTATATGCCACAGTCGTCCTACGGACCTCCATGCTATATATATATAGCCTCTATGGTTCTATGGGTTGTGGCCCAGACCTCTTTTTTTATTTCTGGCTTTTCGAGACAGGATTTCTCTGTGTAATCCTGGCCGTCCTGGAACTTGCTGTGTGACCAGGCTGGCCTTGAGTTCAGAGATCCACCTGCCTCTGCCTCCCGAGCGCGGGGGTTAAAGGCGTGCGCCACCACCGCCGGGCTCTGCGGTCCACTTTTCAAGGATGGGAGGGCAGGGAGCTGGAGCGGCCAACTGCTCGGCACGACGGACGCGGACCAAGGCAGGCCTCTCTTCTCTGTTCTTGCAGTTGCGCTGGTCGTGGTGTTTGGCGTCTGCTGGGCTCCGTTCCACGCAGACCGCCTCATGTGGAGCCTGGTGTCCCGCTGGACCGAGGGCCTGCTCCTGGCCTTCCAGTGTGTGCACGTTGTATCTGGTGTCTTCTTCTACCTCGGCTCCGCAGCCAACCCAGTCCTCTACAGCCTCATGTCCAGTCGCTTCCGGGAGACCTTCCGCCAAGCCCTAGGCCTGGGAACCCAATGCCGTCGCCGCCAACGACGCGGTCATGGCTCCCATAACCTCAGCAGACTGACCACAGGCAGCACCCTGTATGACTTGGGTTCCCGGAATGGGGATCCAGGATTTCAGCAAGAAACAGATCTCTCCTGAGTAAAAAATCCCAAAGGAGGCTAACCCCCTAGGCCAGAGGGCCCCAGACAGTCTGGGGCTATTGGGGTGAGCTTGGAAAGTCAGACCAGCACCCCAGTGACTCCCGCCCTGCCCACATATTTGAGTGTTGAGGGAAACAGCAAGAAAAAGAGGACTGAACCCCGATTGTCAAAGACTCCCGTTGAGGTCCAGGCAAGCTGACTCAGCAGTTAAAGCTTGCTGCTTCCAGAGGACCTGAGTTCAGGTCCCAGCACCCACATGGCAGCTCACAACCACCTGTAACTGCAGCTCTAGGTCAGCTGATACTCTCTTTTGGCGTCTGAAGGCCCCACATGTACATAGCACACACTCAAAAACAAAAAACAAAAATTCCAACTTAAAAAAAGATCCACAATGAGCCAGGCACCTCTGTATATCCAGACCCCAGACCCCCAGCTAATTCTCTCCCACAGAACAATCACAGTCACCTAGACCTCGGCAATTGTCTCTCTGGGATCCCCCCTTCCTCTCTAGTTCATAGGTGTCTCCACTGGGGCCTAGCTGTCGTTCCGGTGACTTCTGGACTGCCACAGGCTCTCACCCACCCTTCCCTCCAGCTCGTGTGCTACACACACTTGGGGCCATCTTCTCACCACGACCCTTCCTGGCTTCTCATGCTGCACTGAAATCTGAGCCTGATGGAGCGGCCAGGTGGCAGAGGTTCCCAGGGACCCCGGGGACCTGGATCTAATCTCCACCGTTATCACCAACTTGTGGCTTTGTGGCATCAAGCGAATCATCCCGCCTTCCTAGGCTCTGGTTCCTTGTTTGCAAAGTGAAAACGGTGTGCTGAGACGCCAGTGTCGCCCTTTGGTGCTGTGTTCTCATCTGTGTGCACAAAAACCAACCACTGGCGGCTTCACATTATCTGTATCACTCCCGGACCCCGCTTTCCCTCCGACCCTCACATGCCGCGGCTCCAAGCCGTCCAGGGCAGGGCCAACCTGTGAGCAGTGGCCTTCCTCACCTGCAGACAGGCCGACCTGGCAGCCGCAGATGAGCAAAGCACCCTGTCAGCCAGGGGATCTCTGGAGGAAGAAACAGGCTCACCAAGGACCAGAGGAGGCCATGCAGCGGCAGTGTGTCCTTGTCAACTTAACACAAACTAGAGTCGGCTGGGGAGGGGAACATCAGTTGAGGAATTACATCCATCAGACTGGTCTGTGGGATCCATGACTAATGACTGGTGTGGCAGGGCCCTGCCCACTGTGGGTGGTGCCGCTCCTAGGCAGGTGGTCCTGGGTTGTCTGAGAAAACAGGCTGAGCAAGCTATGGGGGAGCAAGCCAGTGAGCCCAGTTCCCCATGGCTTCAGCTCCAGTTCCTGCCTCCAGGTTCCTGCCTTGGTTTCCCTTGGTGATGGACAGTAAGCTGAAATAAACCCTTTCCTCCCCAAGTTGGCTTTGGTCAGTGTTTTATCACAGCATCAAAATTCAGATGAGGACATACAGTTCTGTTAAGGGGCCTGGGTGGTCAGGGACAATACTTGAAATTTCATGCCATTCTGATTCCAGGGACAACCTGGTGCTCAGGACTCCGTTAATGGATGAAACGTGTCCTGTTGCAAGTTGCTGGGTCTTGTCCTCAGAGTCTTGGTGTCCACAGCTAGGGGCTGCACAGTGACCTGTAGACAACCTGCCAACTGGTGTCCTAGGTTCCCAGTCTGCCCAGTGAAGGAGGTGGTACAGGGCTGTTCATAAGTCAGTTTTACATCACTGTGACAATACCTGACAGGAAGCTGGACATGGTGACACACAGCTTTAATCTCAGCACCTTGAAAGTGATGACAGGAAAATCATGAGTTTGAAGCTAGCTGGGCTACATGATGAGACCCCCCCCCCACTGAAAAACCAAATAAGCAAATACGATGCCTTTGGCTCAGGGTTTCAGTCTATGGTCAGCTGGCTCCATGATTTCTGTCTGTAGTGAGAGAGGAGGGCATGATGAGGCTGAGTTTCTTACCTCGTGTAGCAGAAAGCAGCAAAATGCTGCAGAAAAAAATACGTTACCTTTTTTCTCCCAGGGCATACTCCCAGTAACCTGCTTCCTTAGCTTTACCTCTAGAAGTTTCCATCACCCTCCAGTAACACCTTGAAATTATAAATCCATCAATAGCACGTATGACCCAATCACTTCCTCAAAACTCCATTTCCAAACATAGCTGCACTGGGGACCGAGCCTTCAACACGCGAGCCTTTCTGGGGGGCTGTAATATCCAAACCATCGCAGTTGTAGTTTATAAATAATAAACACTCACTGTAGAAAATGTGGAAATGCAAACAAGCGGATGTGGAAGATGGAGTGGGGGCGGGGCTAGACGGGTGGCTCAGTCCGTGAGGCTCTCACCTTGTGAGCATGAGGATCCGATTCAACCCTCAGAACCTATAGGACGATGCCTGGTGTCAGTCACCTGTGATAGGTGGCATTTGAGACTGTCCTCCAGCTTTTACAAACACACATGCACAGGCACAGAGATCATACATGTGCATGCATGAAGGCGCGCGCGCACACACGCACACACACCTGTGCACGTATCCATCCCACACACAGACATACACACATATGCATTCACCTGCACACACACACACACACACACACACACACACACACACACACACCAAGCATACCTTTTGTTTGTTTGTTTGTTTTGTTCAAGACAGTGTTTCTCTGTGTAGCTCTCGATGTACTGGAACTTACTCTGTAGCCCGGGCTGGCCTTGAACTCACAGAGATCCACCTGCCTCTGCCTCCTGAGTGCTGGGATTAAAGCTGTGTGCCACCACACCCAGCACATGCATACATTTTTTTTTTCTTTTTCTTTTCAGAGCTGAGGACCGAACCCAGGGCCTTGTGCTTGCCTGAGCTAAATCCCCAACCCCACATGCATACATTTTTGAGAACACTTTCACCAGGACCTGTAGGGAAGGAGGAATAGGAACTTGCTTAATGAGTAAAGAATTTCTGTTTTTCGAGATGAAAAGCTCTAGAGGTTGGCTGTGCAATTATTATCCTTAATAATACTAGTACTAGTTACTAGTTACTAGTACTGTGACCAAATAGCTGTTAGAAGCAATGTAAGGAAATGGTTTAAGGGGTGGAGCCCCCTGAGGTGGGGATGGCAGAGTTCGTGGTGGCTGGAGTGTGCAGCCATGGAAACCTTAGGCTCAGCTGGCTTTCCTTCTCCCTTTCCTCTTCTCATTCAGTCCAGTATCCCTGCCCATGGGAGGTGCTGCCCACGTTCAGAGTGGGTCGTTCCTCTCCAGTTAGACTCTAGAACACCCCTAGACAGAGAGGCCCAGAAGTGTGTCTCCTAGATGCTTCCAAATCCAGCCAAATTGACAATGAAAATGAACCATCACAATCCTGAACCATTTAAACCATTTAAATGGTTAAGATGGTAAACTTATTGTGTATATTTTATCACAATTTTTTCCATCACTTTGCTCTACTGTATATATTTTGGCATATTTCCTTCTCAAAGTGTTTTTCTGGCTGTTCTCACCATCTATAAACAAGTCTGTCCCGCTTTTCCATAGAAGATGAAGGACTAAACAAAGTCGAGGTTGCAACTCATTTGACCCATGGGCTCCACTGTGGCGGGCCTTGGCCAGCCTAAATAAGCCCCGAGTCTCATAAGCTACTGTGTGGAGGAGTCCCCAGACACTGGCCCAAGAAGGCCCCCCTCCCTCCTGTCCTCTGTGCTTGGAAGAGCTGACCAAACCCAGGAAAGAAAAGCCACACTCCCTCCAGGAGCCACCATTGCCCAGATTCCGGCTAGCCAATGAAGGGGGTAGGGTGGGGGCTCAGGGGCCAGGGGCAGACAGCAGAGGCTGGGGTGGAAGTCCTCTGAAGGCGATGGGAGAAGCAGGGGACCTCAAGGAGACTACAAATGGACCAGGGAACTGAGGGAAAAGCTGGCTGTGGGAAGGGAGTTTCCTCAGGGGGGTCCTGGATGTGTGGAGACAGGGTGCACACAACCTGAGCTCCTAAGCAGACTTGGAGAGTGGTGGGAGTAGGCCAGGTCAGTGACTGGAGGGATGAGGGGATTCCGTGAACAAAGGAGCCTGGGAAAAGAGCTGAGTGCCAAAGGACCACCTCCGTCACAGCACTGGGTAGCCTGTGGGCAGACGTTAAAACTGTTCCCAGAGACCAGCTCGGGACTCCCAGAGGTCTTTGTTCAGTGTTCCTGATGTAATGAGTGGAGTCCGTGTGTGTGTGTGTGTGTGTGTGTGTGTGTGTGTGTGTGTGTGTGTGTGTGTGCACGCGAGCCTGTGTGTGTGAAGGGCTGTTCCAGGAAGAGAAGCACAGAGCAGATAAAAAGATGAGGAATAACATGCTCCTTGCCGTGAACTTGCCATGTCTATTGAGTGTCCACAGGCTGTCAGTGGCCAGGTTCTGTATGTCATAGGCCACCCGTGGCCCTGGAAAACGGGGCAGCAGCCAAGCTCAGTCCTTGAGAAAAAGGACTAGGATGGAGAAGAGAGCAGCAGTCCCTACCTAGGGCACTCACAGGGGACAGTCAGAGGCCTCAGCTCTGTGTTCCCTCTAGAAGGCTTTGCTGCTCCTGTGCATTGTCAGGGGGGGCTTTGGGCGCTGCGGGCCCCGGGGCCACTCTGGCTGGGAGCCAACTCTCCCGAAAGCATGTGGCTTATTTGGTAGGTGTGCTGTCACATCTCTCTCATAGAATTTGCATGCCAACTCCTGCATTACCATAAATGACGGCAAAGCCTCCAAGTACTTCTGCTGCTCTGGGGTGCTCGCCTGCACGTGGTCTTCTGGCCTGTGGCCACCCTGTTAATTGTTTATGTTAGCAAAGTGTTTAGTGAGGTACCAAATCTAAAATGTAGACAGGGCTGAGGAGGTGGTGCTGTAGTCAAAGTGCTTCTGTTCAGAGTTCAGATCCACGGAGATCCACGGAGATCCACGGAAATCCACGGAAATGCCAGGTGTGTGTGGTGGCCAGGCTGGAATTCCAGCCTCAGAAGGTACCGACAGGGTACCCCAGAGCAAGCTGGCTGGCAACATTAGTCCTATCTTTGAGCTCTGGGTTTGATTGAGACCCTACCTCAATAAAGAAGAAGAATGGAAGAAAAATCAATAGAAGATGGATCCAGGAAAGCTCCGGGTACCAGCTTGGGCCTCTATAAGCACACACATACACCACACTTGTAAACAGATGTATACATTACAAACACTCGGAAAAAGGGCAGTCCAGGGCTCCTTACCTTGGTACAGTTTTCCTCACCCCCCTAACACACACACACACACACACACACACACACACACACACACACACTCCCCAAGTTGAAATGTGAGGCTATGTCTAGGTGTGTTTTTGCTTTTGAGACAAGATCTCTTGTATCAGGCTGGCCTCGGACTCTCAGTGAAGCCAAGGATGATGACAAACTCTGGATCTTGTCTCCACCTCTTCGGTACCAACCACACTAGGCTGATTCCTAGGATTTTCACCCATGTTTCTGGGTTGTTGTTAAAGCTTATCAAGGGTAAGACGGTGGTGGTGCATGCCTTTATAATGCCAGCACTCGGGAGGCAGAGGCAAGCGGATCTCTGTGAGTTCGAGGCCAGCCTGGTCCTCAGAGCAAGATCCAGGACAGGCACCGAAGCTACACAGAGAAACCCTGTCTCGAAAAAACAAAAACAAAAAACTGCTAACCTCTAAGCCAGTAAGCCAGGTGTAGCCAGGTGACACGCCTTTAAGCCCAGCACTAGGGAGGCAGAGGCAGGTGGATCTCTGTGAGTTTGAGGTCAATCTGGTCTACAGAGTTAAGTTCCCGGGACAGCCAGAGGTACACAGTGAGACCCTATCTCGAAACCAAACAAACTAAAAACAAAAACAACAACCCCGTTAACATTTAAGTCTTAAGCTTGTTTTGAGAAAGATGATAAAATGTTGAAAAACCAGCCAGTACAATGTGCAGCTTCAACAGATAGGTCTCGACCAGGACAAACAGCGTCAAGCATCTTCAGCAACAGGTCTGTAGAGAGGGGCCGGGATTTAGGCTCCTCCCACCTCGCGGGGCCGGTAGGACCCTGCCGGGAAACCATCATCATCCTTCCTCTTCGCTGGAACTCACGCCTTACAGATAGATCTGGGTGCTTGGAGCGAGCCTGGCTCCCTCCTCCTCAAAGAACAGCAGCGTTTATGGCCATTTTCTTTCCTCCGGCTCCATCAGCTCCCAGGTCCCCGAATCTTGCCGGAGGCAAAATCACCTGGACCACCCTGCAGACCCGAGCCACCTGACCCGCGTCAAGGTGTCCGGCGCGAGCCG